CCATATACTGTGTTTTATAAAATTAATCACTATTGAGATTCCCATATTTATGTTACATGTTTTTATATGTTGGAAGAGTGAAGATAAAAAAAATACCTGATGCTAATAAGGCAGGCAAATCACAGAAAATTCTGAAGCAAGAGTTGAAGAAAATTAGTTGGAAGAGTAGTACAGTAAATATTTATGCCTTCTTCACTTATATTTACCAGTTGCTAACATTTTGATGTATTTGTCTTTGTGTATTCACATATATACAGTTACATTTTGCTTTGCTAAAAAATATGGAAGCAAATTTCAAACATCATAGCATTTAACTCCTAAATACTTTTGTGTAGACTTTCTGACAAGTACATTAACTGTGTGCATCATAGCAAGTTATGGCTGCAATGAAAAGAATAGGAGTCCCAGAGCACTTAATTTTGCTCATGAGGAACCTATACCTGGCCCAGGAGGCTGTTGTGCAAGCAGAGAAGGGGAACACTGCATGGTTTAAAATTGAGAAGGGAGAGTGTCAGGGTTGTATTCTCTCTGCATACTTATTCAGTCTGTATGCGGAGCAAATTATCTGAGAAGCTGGACTCTATGAAGACGAATGTGGCATCAGGATTAGAATGAGACTCATCAAGAACCTGGCATTATGCAGATTACAAAACCTTGCTTGTTAAAAGTGTGGAAGACTTGAAACACTTGTAGAAGAAGATCAAGGAATGCAGCCTTCAGTATGGATTGCATCTCAGTGTCAAGAAAAAAAAGTCCTTACCACTGGACCAATAGGCAACATCATAATGGATGGAGTAAATTTTGAAACTGCCAATGATTTCATCTTTCTTGGACCCACAATCAACACTTTTGGTACCACCAGGCAGGAGAACGGGAGATGCGTTGCATTGGGAAAGTGCAAATTATTGGAAACTCTCCAAAATTATTGAGGAGCCTTGATGTTAGTTTGAGGACTACGATGTGTCTGATTCAGGCCATTGTCTTCTCAATCATTTGCTATGCATCTCAGAGCTAGAAAATTAATAAGGATGACAGAAGATTTTGAGCAGTGGTGCTGGAAAAGAGTACCGAATATCCTATGGACTGTCAAAAGAACAGTCTTAGAGAAGGTGCGGCCAGAGTGCTTCTTGGAAGCAAAGGTGTTCAAAGATCTTCCACACTCATCACTCAATTTCACCCAGTAATAACATCTTACATGACTGTTGCACACAATTAAAAATTTAAAAATTGACATTTCTATAAACTACAGTGGGAGGAGGATGGGCAGTCTCCTCCTATGCAGTTAACTGCCTCTGAAAACCCACCAGAGGGTCAGCAATGGGTCAGTTCTGACTCTGACACACAACAGCAATCTACAGAGCTTACTCTGATTTTGAGAGTCGTACGTTGTGTATGTGTAGTTCTATAAAATTTTACCCTGTGTAGATTCAGGAAACCAACACCACCACCAAGACAGAACTGTTTCATCACCACAAGGTGGCCCCCTTTATACCCACATCCAAAAACTGTCCATTTCAGTGGTCTGTGTAATTTTTCCATTGATCTGGATGTCATCGAGAAAATCTGTTAAGAACCTCCTTAAAGTGATAAAAGGCAAGGATGTCAGTATAAAGACTAAGGTGTTTGGCCTGAGCCAAACAATATTTTCAATTACTTGCTATGCATCTGAGAGTTAGATGATGAATATGGAAGCCCAGAGAAGGGTTAATGCCTTTGAATTGTGGTGTGAACACAGACAAATCTGTCTTGGAGCAAGTGCAACCAGAGTCCTTTGTGGCACAAATGATGATACTTTTTCTCACACTTTGGTTATGCTGTGAGGAAGCGCCAGTCCTGGAAGAAGACACTATGCTGGCAAAGATAGAGGGTCAGAGAAAGAGAGGAAGACCCCCAACAAGATGAAGGATTGACACAGTGACTGCAGCAATGGGCTTGAGCATGGCAGAGATCATGAGGATAGTTCAGGACAGTTAGGACAAGGTTCCTATCTGTTCACATGGTGCCTATGAGTTGTTGAATTGATGGCACCTAGCACAAGAAGTCTGTTGTTTGTTGTTACATGCTATCGAATTGCCTGCAACTCATAGTGGACCTATGCATAATAGCTCTGACTCTTGCCCTATCCTGAGCAAATCTCATAGTCTCTGATACACCTACCCCTTTATCCCAGTAGATGAGTCAATCCGTCTCATCCAGGGGGAGCTCTGGTGGCCTAGTGGTAAGAAACTGTACTGCAATCCTGAAGACACGCGCTTCAAACCCACCAGCTGCTCTGCGGGAGAAGGATGGGAAACCTCCCATGCAATCAACTGCCTCTGAAAGCCTGCCAAAGGGTCAGCTATGGGTCAGTTCTAATTCGATGGTACACAGCAACAACATACATAGTAAAGGGTAAACAAGCCATCCCATCCAGGGCTTTCCTCTCCTACACTGTTCCTTCATCCTTCCAAGCATGACGTCATTCTCCAAAGACTGGTCCCTGCTGGTCACGTGGCCAAATTATGTGAGACGGAGCTTCAAAATCCCAACCTTCAAGGAGAAACTTGGTTTCACACTCTTCACGACAAACCTATTTGTTCTCTTTGCAGTCCATGGTACTTTCAATACTCTTCTCCAGCACCACGACTCAGAGGCATCAATTCTTCTGCCATCCTTAGTTCTCTGATGCATAGCATGTAATTATGAAGACCATACCCTGGATCAGGCACACCTTAGTCTCTAGACTGACATCCTTGCTCTTTAGTACTCTGGAGTGGTGCCTGACAGCAGATTTTCCCAATGCAATTCATCTTTTTATTTTCTGACTGCTGGTTCCAAGAGTGTTGACTGTGGAGCTGAGCAAGCTGAAATGGTTAACGATCTCAAGCTCTTCTCCATCTAGCATAATGCTGCCAATTGGCCCAGTAGTGAGAAGTCTACAGCTGACTACAAATGAAAAAAGATAAGCAACATGAAATGTGTGTATTCTGACCTAAGAACCTTAAGGGGATTGGTTTGCTGTTTCATGAGAAATCCTTTCATAGACACAAATCTAGTTGCTGTAGGTTGTTAAGACCAAAGAATCTAAATACTATCCCTGGGGGACCCACTGAATGGAGGGTCACAAATTCTGCTCCTTGTGATCATTTTAGTCATGAAATCAGCAACAAGGCCCATGCATTTCTTTGGCACAGGAAACAGACACAGCTGTGAACTTATTCATTGCCTACACCACCTCAACAAACTGAGATACAGATGCTGGAAATCATTACTTTTAAGTAAATATCCCAATATTCTTTAGGGAAAGGTAAAAATGGAGGTGTCTGGCATGAAGCTTTTGGACCATGGACTAAAAATTTAATTAATACATGAGATGACGCTTTTGTTGTTCTGTACCATTCAGTTGAAACTCCACTCATAGCCGACTTACGCAGGTTTTCAAAAGCTGTAAATCACATGGGAGGAGACTGCCCATTATTCTCTCATAGAGCAGCTGATGGATCCATACCATGTACCCTTGGATTACCAGCGCATCTCCTTACCTGCTAGGCTATCAGAGATCCCTTATGTGAGACGATAGCAAAATAGCATGTGTGTGAAAAGCAAAATAACATCTAATATTGTAAAAAAAAAACCACCCCAAACCTCTGTCCATGCTGGGAAAAAGGGGAGGGGATATGGACTACATATGAAATGCAAATAAGCAGTGTCACCATGAAGAATAAAACAATCAGGCCAGGGAGCTACAAGTTTTTAGCAATTCTTCTTCTTGTTGTTATGTGCTGTCGAGTCGCTTGAGACTCATAGTGACCCTATGTACAAGAGCCCTAAACCCTGCTCTATCCTGTGCCAATCGCACTGCCTCTGACAAACCCATCCCGATTATCCCAGTCACTGGATCAATCCACCTCATAGAGGGCCTTCCCCTCCTACACTGTCCCTCCACCCTCCCAAGCATCATGATCTCTCTCCAAGGACCGGTCCCTCCTTACAACATGTCCAAAGTATGTCAGACAAAGCCCCAGAATCCTTGCCTCCAAAGAGCAGCCCGGTTTAACCCTCTCTAGGTTGAATCTATTTGTTTTCCTAGCAGTCCATGGTATTCTCAATACTCTTCTCCAGCACCACAGCACAAAGGCATCAATTCTCCTTCTATCCTCCTTGGTCATTGTCCAACTCTCTGATGCATAACAAGTGATTGCAAAGACCATGGCCTGTATCAGATGCAC